CTGGCAAAATTAAACTGTTGACAGGCCACAAAATGTATTCAAAATGCAAAAATTAGTTTTTTTTATTTGCGTAACAATTAATGTTTGTAAAATAAAATCTGTATATTATTAAAATCTAGAATGTCAAAAGGGTTTTAACTGTTTCTTTAGAAAAAAAGCAATTTCATAATTCATTAAATTAAAAATGGAAAAATTAACTATGGTTTGTTTTTACCTGCTGAACAATGAGCAAACTTTTTATAAAATCTGCATATTATTAAAGATCCGAAACATAAAAAGGCTTCAAACTTTTGCCTTATTAAAATAAAAACAATTTCACCATTTAAAATGTAAAAATTAACATATTAGTTTACCTGCTTAATAATAAATAAAATTATTATTAAATTTGTATATTATTATTATCCAAAGAGTAAGAAAAGACTTTGAACTGTTGCCTTAATAAAATAAAAACAACTTAAACAATCATTAATTAAAAATGTTTAAAATTTGTTACATGTCATTTTTTTAAACCTGCTCAACAATAAAAACATTTTTTAATTAAATCTATATTTTATTATATTTCTAAAACACGTAAAAGGCTTTGAACTGTTGACCCATGAAAAGAAAAGCATTTTCAATATTTTCTAATGTAGAAATGCAAAAATTAGTTTGGTGTTTTTTTTTCCTTTTACTTGTTCAACAATAATCATTTTTTAAATGAAATTATTTTATCTTTAGAGATCCAGAACATAAAAACACTGTTGCCTTGGTAATCATTTTTCATCAGTTTTTTTTTCCAGAGTTTTGATGCAGGGCCAAACTATATCATTTGAAGGACCATAAACGGCCCGCGGGCCACACTTTGAACATCCACGATGCTGAAACATCACAATCAGTTGAGTTTGACCCGTTGGCAGCCAGACGACCCAGAATGCATCAGTAGGACGTCTGGTTTTGTGTCGATGTGAAATTCATGGCGACCCCGTTGGTCGGCGATGAAGAGCCGTCTGCACCGGCCGACCTTTGCTCCTCTTCCTCTCGTCAATCTCAGCCTATTTTCTGGGAGAGACTGCAGGATTCTGATGATCTGCAGTTACTCTCTGCTTGCGTTTCTTTTTTATATCTCCATCAATGCATGTTTTATCATTTTCCATGAATAGGAATGGAGCTCCTGTGATCCACATCAATATCAAACAGTTTTCTGTTTGCATCCCAGCCTTCCTCCTGCTCCTCCTCCTCGTTTTTTCTCTCAGAGCTGATTGCTGCAGCAGCAGGAAGCTTTCTGAGAACCTTGACCTTCTGTTGCAGACAAGCTGCAGATTTCAGAAAATACTTGAATTCAAGTCTAGCATTGGCTGAAATTAGTGACCACAGTAAGCATAGTAATCTTATTCCTCTGACTTCATAATATCAGGCAAACATGCTCTGTTTTTAAACGTCTTTAAAAAAAGCTTGATTGGTATTAGCTGCTAGCGCACTAATAGCAGAGCACCTAGCTTACACACAAGTCATATTTCCAGATGAGCTAATTTACTTTGGTATTTTATAACTTTCAGTTTGTGGAACTTTAGCATTAGCTTCCGCTAAATGCTGCTACCATAGCGGCTTAGCATTAGCTTCCGCTAAATACTGCTACCATAGCGGTTTAGCATTAGCTTCCATTAATTGCTATGTCGGTGTAATGCTGCAGCATTAGCTCCTGCTAAATGCTGTGCTGGTGTTTGTTTAGAGCTTCGGGGTCGGAACAGTTAAGTTTAGTTTGTGATGCTCATCAGCATCACTAAGAAACTGAGTTTGTCTGGGAAATATTTAGTGAGTTCTGGAAAACGTCTTTCTGGAAAGCAGGAACATCGGCTCATTCAAAGTGTGGAACGATTAGCTTCACAACTGAACTGAAATGATCAGAAGTCATCCGTAGAGCACCGCCTGATCGCTCATGTTGACCATTTGCTTGGATGATGTGATGTGAGGACAGGGGAGGGACTGTGGCTCCATCAGGTGAAGATTGCTTTGCAACACATCTTCAGGTCTGCGACTGTATTTCTCCTTGATCAGGATGTTTTAAAGAAGGTAAAAAATACCAAGCAGACGCTGTATTGTTGGGAGAGCCCTGCTGCTGTCGGTCCAGCTCATTTTGATTACAGTGCTGCGTCGTTTAAACACAGAAAACCTTTCAGTCGCTGCCATCAGGGAGTCCATGTGAATGCCTGACAGAACATGACATGAAAGCCAGATTATTGGACGCAGCTTTTGACTTTTTAAGGCTGTGATCTCCAGCTTTTGATCAGCTGATTGACATTTCTTTTGGTCCAGTGTCTCCTTTGCATTTTGAAGATCCACCAGCACAAAATGGAAACATTTGTCTCAGATTATCAAAAGTTCAACGATCTGATCATCTGTTCACACAATACAGAACAGGAAACTGTTTTATTCTTCTTTCTTTATATTTAATCTTTTAGCAGGTTAATTAATTCTTATTTTGAACAAAATGTTTGAATTAAACTATTTCACAGGCTGAAAAAATATCATGATATTAGCATTTCATATCGGTTGATATCGATAATTATTGGTCCGTTTTCTGTCTCAAACATCTGAACTGTTGTTGCCGTGACATTTCCTGTTTTATCCAGTTTTTACTCCATTTTATTTTTGAGCGGTTAAAACGGTGACTAAACATTAAACTGCTGCTGCGCTGGTTACTCAGCAGGTTGTTGCTCAGAGTTCAGTAAATAGTTTACATATTTAATTTCACTACATGCGTCCTGGGTTGATATTGGTCACGTCTTATCGCGATATATATTATAATTGATTTATTATCCAGCCTGATGATCATTATGATAAATCTGAGGAAACATTTTTCTTTATCAACCTCATTTTAAAAGTCAGGTTATGATTCTAGTTCAGTTTTTTTAAAGCAGAAATGCTGTAAACAACTCTCGACTCCATCGTTTCTCACAGTTTTTTCTTTTAAAATCGCCCAAAATCCAACAACTTATGGTTAATTTCATAAATCTTTATATTTATCCAGGCTTTTGTTGCGTTCTTTTCCTTGCTGTAACCCGGTTTTACGTCTCTGAATGCATCTGCTGATCAGAACCTGCAGCAGACGGTCTCATCCTCACCTCAGGAGGACGTGGGCGGAGCCACGCTGTCATGTCAAAGAAAATCACTTCAGTCTTCAATGAATACATAAACAGGCCCCCCGTCACTCGGCGCTCCAGTGACGGCGAGCCTTTCTGAAGGGAGCGGCGCCCGCAGAGCCCATTTGTCGCCGCACGCAGCGAGCGTCTGCTCGGCCTCGGACGCCGGTGGCGTTTCTCTGCGCCTGGTTCAGGTCAGAGGCGCCGGCGGATCAGGATCCTGAGAATCTGAAGGAAAGATGTTTCTATAAACCACCAAAAGACTCCGTTACATTTACTCAGTTACTTTTACTTGAGTAACTTTTTGGAAAGAATTTACTTTACGGAGTATTTTTTGTTGTATTTTACTTTTTACTTTTTAATTTTATTATGAAGTATTTCTATTGATTTATTGATAAATCCTGGTGGACTTTTACCACCAGCTGAAGGTTCTTGTTGGAAGTGTCAGTATTTGGATTAATAATTGATCAACATTATTTTCTTAATGGAATAAAATTGAAGAAACTTGAAGAAATGAAAGAAAATAAAATATTTTTAATCAAACTGAGTATAAAGAACCTAAATATGATCATAAATTCCTCCAGTGAAGTGGCTGCAGTGCATAAAGGACAATCCAGATGTTTATTGGTTGAGTTATTGCTGCTGCGGTTCTGAGTCAAACCAGCCTGTTCCCCTCCCAGCCTGTGGGGGCGCTGCACCAAGAACCACTGAAAGAAACGACACTAAAACCTCTGGGACACTGAGAGCAACTTCCTTCTTCACCTGATGGAAACTAAAATGGAGGCGTCAGATTTTAGCGGTCGGTAAAAACCAGTCGGTTGGTGGATTTAACTAACTCTCTCACTCTTTGTTGCCTAGCAACAACCTGCGCAGCAGCAGTTTCAGGTTTCTCCATGGTGCCTCATAACTGACTGAAAATAAAAAAAAACAACGGCATGAAGTGAAAACTAAGAATAAAACAAAGTATTTCACATAATTATTGATAATTATCGATTTTGATTTGAAATGTGTTTGTCAGCCATTTTGTTCAGCCCTGTGTTGACGGCGAAATTCAGCACACAGAATAATATTGTGACTTTCTAACGTGTGGATTTGTTTAGATGAGTTGGTTTCAGGTAAATCTCCCCAAACATGTTGATGGCTGAAAGGTCGTCCCGAGGTCAAACATGGCCGCCGATCTCTGCCCTCTGGGAGCGCCTGTCCTCCCATCAGGTCGCCTTAATTAGCCCTGTATTAATCACCTCCTCTCCTGTGTGTCTGTGTGATCTCAGCAGGCGGTGACCAGCGGGGCACAGCGATCCGTGTTTGCTCAGAAAACACACAGTTCATTAATTACAGCGACCCGCGTCGGGACAAACCTTTCTGTGTGGGTTAAAGCAGCTGGACTCGCGCTGCAGAGGCTCAATCACAAACAGAAGCTGCTTTTAATGGGAAGAAGTCCTGGAAAAAAAGGATTTGTTTTTTATTTGGGTTCTGTCCTCGTCCGTTCGTCGTCCTGATTAATTCGCTCCCATGCCGCCCCCTCCCCGCGCTCTGATTGGCTGCGGGGAGGGCCCGCTGCGGTAAGACGCCACATTTATACGGGCCGGTTTCCGACAAACAAGCCGCAGCGGGTCGCTGATGAACTGGCGGGCCGGACGGGAACGCCGTTACCCAGAATGCAGCTGTGAGCGACTGGAAAGGTTGGAGCTGAAAGTTCAGAAGTGGACGATCCTTTGAGATTTTTATGTTCTGCATGTGAGAGATAAATGACGGCAGAAAAACTTTCACCCTGAAAGCTTTAAAGGCGACACGTTGTGCTTCATCAAAGACGCTGGGATTCGTCTAATTACAGGATAATTAAAGAAAAATAGCAAATTATTCACCTAATCAAATAATGAAACCTCTGTATTATTTAATTTATACTGTATTTTGTTGAATTGATCAGTGGAGAAACTCTTCAAAACAGGAAATCCAGGAGAACATTGAAGTGAAGCAGACAGGATGCTTTAATCTTCCAGAGTGGATTTAATTGAACCGTTAAAGGCTCAGTCGGTGGAGGTTTTAACTCTTATGTTTTAATGGATCCGGGTCGGGCCGGTCCGGGTCGGGCTGATCCGGGTCGGACCAGGAGCTCCTGTAATCCCTGCGGCGCTCTGGTTTCTGTTCGTTTCATGCCTGAGATTTCTTCTCCTGTTCCTGAATTCACTGTTTGTGTTGCAGTCTGAGCTCCAGAGGTCAGAGGTCATCTCTGCTCTGAATCTTTCTGCAGACGATCAGAACCAGGAGATTTGACAGCGAGCTCAAGAGTCCCTGAAACAGAAAACGTTGATAATTCAGCAGAAAAACATCAAACATTGTGATTTATTTGGCGTCACATGACCGGGAATGAACGCATGAGAACCCGCGCCGGGCCGAAGCCGGACCACCGGGCAGCCACAGGAAGCAGTGCATTATGGGTTAAACAGGCTCTGGATTTACAGCTGAAGGATGAGTTTTTACCTCGGGAGGAAACCTCTGACCCCCCGCCCCGAACAGGATGCGATCCGTCTCATCCGATGAGTTACGGTCGGGCTGGGAGGCTCGGAGGATCAGCTGCCGTCAAGGTGAACCGGCGGCAGAAAGACGGGCAGAAACCAGCGAAGCAGAACCAGAGAAGAAGAAAAATAGGTTACATAAGGGGTGTTTCACAGGAAAAACGACATTTTATTCATATAGCACCAATTCACAACAGATGTCATCCCAGATTCACTTCTCCGTTTAATATGTAGCCGAACTGCAGGGCAGAACAGAACCAGGCCGAGGTTTGGAAGTGGACCAGAGTTCAAAACCAACCGGATTCTCCAGCCGAACGGCCTGGAGTCGAACTACAGTGGAATCAATGTGAACGCTGGTTTAAAATAATTCATGTCACTCCGATACAAATCCGGTCATATCGATTGATTCAGATACATCAATACCTCCAGTTCAATGATGAAAGTTTTGCATTAATGCTGCTTCTTCTTCTTTGCTTGCTTTTCCGGTGCGTCTGCTGCCTCCTGTCGGCCTGCTGCTCGTCTGCAGGTACGTGATTCATGTTTCCTCCATGTTTCCTCCTTGTTTCCTCCATATTTCCTCTTTGTTTCCTCCATGTTTCCTCCATATTTCCTCTTTGTTTCCTCTTTGTTTCCTCCATGTTTCCTCCATATTTCCTCTTTGTTTCCTCCATGTTTCCTCTTTGTTTCCTCCATGTTTCCTCCTTGTTTCCTCTTTGTTTCCTCCATGTTTCCTCCATGTTTCCTCCTTGTTTCCTCCATGTTTCCTCCTTGTTTCCTCTTTGTTTCCTTCTTGCTTCCTCCTTGTTTCCTCTTTGTTTCCTCCATGTTTCCTTCTTGCTTCCTCTTTGTTTCTTCCATGTTTCCTCTTTGTTTCCTCCATGTTTCCTCCTTGTTTCCTCCATCTTTCCTCCATGTTGCGTTTTCTGTCTCTGGTTTCATATCTGCTGACCTTGCAGGAACAAAAAGTAACAAAAGCTGCCACTAAGCTTAGCGTGAACTTGTGATATCATGTTTAACTGCAGAGGATTTTCCTGTGAGGGACAACAGAAGCTTTCATTCATCCTGTCATCATCTGAGAACCTGAACCTGCAAACTGTTTTTACTCCAAAGACTCGATTTCAGACTGAAACTGAAGCATTTTCTGGCTGAAACTCTAAAACTTCAGTTTCTCGCCAGGACTTTCCTTTTTCTTTGCTCTGCAACTTGTTTTGAAACGCCCTTTTTTAGTCATACTCCAGTTATCGATTAATCAATTACTAAATTAGTTGATTTCAGTATTTGATTAATCACAATTAATCCAATTCATTATTTCAGTTTTAAGCATGAGAGCATTCAAAATGATCTGACCTGCTTTTGTAAAAACAGCCGAACAGAAACCAAACAATAGAAACTCGAGAGCATTAAGAAGTGAAAGCAGCTGCTGCTGATCAGATGCATTAATCAACTGATCAACGGCTTTAGAGAAACATTTTGCTCTGCCTATCAATCTGGGTCGAGCTGAATTGCCCAAAGTGTTTGAAATCATTCTGCAGAGAGAAAAACACTTCAGACAGCTGCTAATCTTCCAGGAGTGGATCCCCGGTCAAAGGTCAGGGCCAGAACACCCACAAGCTCCCGCTCAGCGTCTGCAGGGTTCAGCCGGGATGTGAAATGTTAAAGTTCGTGACAGGAGGATTAGAAAAAGCCAAACAAGTACAGCTTGTCTGGGAGGGTTCAAAGAGGTCCAAAAAGAAAATGCCAGCAGAACTTTAGCTTGTTTGTCGAGTTGGACCTGAATGAACAACAAGCACAAGCTGAGCAGAACCAGCAGAACCAGCAGAACCACCTCACAGCGGTGAGATCTCTGCTGGCGTCACCGGATCGTTTTCCGTCAGTTTGTAACGGCAACAATGTCAGAATCAGGCCTGCAACTATTTTAATAATCTGACCTTTAATCAATTCATCCAGTTAAGAAATTTGCATATTCTCCAGATTTTCATTTAACCGCTTAAGTTTTCTTTTACAATATCAAAAATATTTCAAAAGATGTCAAAGATAAAAGCAAATTATGTTCCTTTTTTAAATAAAATGCAATAATAAAGTATTTCTGTAGTGGATCTGAAGCTGGTGAAGCTAAAAATGGAGGTTTAGGTCAAAGTTGTTTCATCTAAAAGACATTTAAAAACATCAAATGTAGAATATTATCACACGACATTATTAATATCTAACAGACGACATCAGTTACTTTTTTAGTTAATTTGTCCTTTTTATTTCTAACGTGTTGCTGGAGAAGTTTTGTTCATGTGAAAAGTTTGGTTGTTGAACTGATGGTGCAGACTGACAGGCAGTCTGCCGGGTCAGTCTATCGGTTCAGTCTGCCGGGTCAGTCTGCCGGGTCAGTCTGCTGGGTCAGTCTATCGGTTCAGTCTGCCGGGTCAGTCTATCGGTTCAGTCTGTTGGGTCAGTCTGTCCGCTCAGACTGTTGGGTCAGTCTGTCCGCTCAGACTGTTGGGTCAGTCTGTCCGGGCAGGCTTTGAGAAAGCCGATTGGCCGGCCTGAGACATCAACGGTGGCCGTCTGCCAACCAGAAGCCGCCGCCGCTGCGTCCGGGTCCGGATGGGATTTAATATTAATGAGCGGTCCGATTAGCAGAACTCCCAGCAGGCACTGGGGCCGGGTAATCCAGGCAGTGTCAGGGTGCTGATAAGAGCAGAGGAGGCCTTTAGCGTGACATTAAAATATTATTTATTTATTATTTGTTGTCAGAGTTCAGTAGTAACCAATTACATTTACTCAGTTACATTTACTGGAGGAACTTTGCTGAAAAAATGTAGTTTTACGAGTTTTTAAAATTATTTTATTATGATGTATATTTTTCTCTTACTGGAGCGAAATTTCTGGATTTTCTTCCCACTGAATGAAAAACAAGCGACTCAAACTCACCTGCAGTTTTTAAGTTTCAGTTTTTCACTGAAAGAAACTGATTTTATAAATTTTCTTCTGCCTGATTTTTTGTTGTTGTTGTTGTTATATTATATAAATTATATTCACTTTGACCCTTAAAATACCAAAATAAATGTAATTTTTAAATATTAAATGATTGATGGGTTGATCACTTACTAGAGTATTTTCTTGAATGGATACTTTTTACTTTTACTTGAGTAAAAATATGTAGTTTACTTGGGTATAATTTTGGTTGCTCTGCCTGCCTCTGTTTGTTATTGAATATCCTGATTTTGGTTCTTGTCTTGTTTTGTGTTTTGTTGGAAAACCAAACCGGGTTTCTTCCTGTTAAAGGCGACTTTTTTTCTCCTCACTGTCGCCACATGCATGCTCAGCACCACAGACTGTTGTGATAATTATAAATGATAATAATAAATCATACTGCAAAAACACAAAATACTGTCAAGTGTTTTTGCAGTGTTTTTGCAGAACCAAAAACTCATCTAGTTTTTGGTTCATACATTTTCGTACAATTTTTAGATTGATCAAAATTTTTTTGAAAAAACAAGAAAAAGTTTGATTTTAAAAAAATTAGCTGGAGAAAACAGCCTTTTTTAAAAATGTGTTCACTAAAAAAAATTATACATTTTAGTTTGAAAAGTCAGAAATGTACTAATAAAAAAATCAGAAATATTTCTAGAAAAAAACACAAAATTTTCTGAGTGAGAAAAGTTAAAAATGTTCCACTTTTGAAAAAGAAATTCTGAAATTAATCTTAAAATTGGACATGAATTTCAAAAATTCAGATTTTTTTTTCCGAGCAAATTTTCAAACACTGGATCTAAAAATGTACCTTTTTCTTTAAATTGTCAGAGTTTGATCTGAAAGTTTCTGAGTTTTTTGGCTCTTCTCTTTGTTTTCTGTCGCGCCGCGGTGGATGTAAGAGTTGTCGTCTAAGCCGTCTGGTTTTTGGATCAGAGAGTTGCTGATCTCCTCCAGAAACAGGAAGACGAGGAGGATCAGAGCGGTTTCATGGTAGCAGCTGAACGCGAGGGGCCTCAGGTTTCATTAAACACGGCGAGGCGAGGACATGGAGGGGGGCTGCTGAACAAATTAATGTAAATTACAGCCTGATCCATTTGGGCGACCAGCAGGAGGCCCAGACCTGCTGAACCAAACATGTTTGCTTCTGTTGGGTTGCGCGCCGTGTCGAAGGGGCCGCAGCGACGACGCCAAGGCCGTGACCAATCGCCGGCCCCGCCCACTGCGCAGCCAGGAGGAGGGTTAGCGAGAGGACACATTGTTCCCACTGAAAGCCACTGGAAACCTGAGAAAACAGACTGGACTGGACCAACAAACTGTGGCCGGACCAGCTGGGTCCGTCCTCTGATCTGGGTCTTACTGGGAGTTTTACGTTCCCAGATTGAGGTTCTGTTGGTGAGTGATTTCTAATGGGGGCGGCTTAACAATCAGAAAACATAGAAAGTGCCAGAGTTACCGGACCCGGTATCTCGGGAACCACCAGGTTCAGCACTGGGTGTGGATCCCATTTCGCCCGGACCCGCTGAGCGGTGCCGGATTATTTCTGTAGCTTAAGAAGTGGATATCTGGCCCTAAAAAGATCCAAGTTCAAACAAAAACCAGATCCTGTTTCCTAGTTGTTCTTCTAACTTTTAGCAGCAACTTTAATGCTTCCTGGAACAGGTTAGCATCGGTCTATGGCCTACACAAAACATGTCAGCTAATCTTTTTCCAACAGTCATTCTTAGATTATGAGAATTTATCTGTTCTCTGTCATCCTGTCACTTTAAATCCAAACAAACTGCTGCTGGCCACGCCCCCCAACGCAGCGTTTACACTGGCTGTTAACAGACACGCTATTATACAACTGCACGTTTGAAAAGCAGAAGTGGAACTATCTGCACAACCAACAAGAATGCAGGGAGTGGCTTCTGGATATAAGTCAATAACAAAACTTTCTGTCTTTTCCAGCAGCCATTGTACGGCTCAGAGGATTTGTTTTAGCAATGTTTTGAGTTTTCCGATTAAAAAATGTTGAAGTTCTATGTAGAGAATTTCACAAAATAATCTTCAGATTAAAGTTTTCTTCTACTTCTGCAGCTCAGAAATTTCCTTGTTTTTTTTAGTTTTCTGATCAATCTAAAATTTTGAGGGTTTCTCTTCAGTAAAGTTTTGACTTTTCAAGCTCATAATTTTCCAATTTACAAAAAAATTCTAGAATTAATCTAAAAATGTCTGTTTTTTGTAGAAATGTACCCATTTCTTTCTACTTACAGTGGCCCTGATACGCCGTTGTAAAAAATCACCTTGGATGATCTGAATTTAATTCTTGTTTTTTGCTAGCACTCCTTTCCAGGATGGTAAATTGAGCCGTTTTGGAGGCAGCGTGTCTGTCCCAGCTCTGACTGCTTCAGGAGGAAAATGGTTGGGAACTTTACCTCGTTATCTCCTGTCATCGCTGATGCAACATGGCCGCCCTCATTTCTGGCTCATCCCAGCTGCAGCTCTGCTCAGCAACACGTCCGCCTGTGGCTCTGTTTATGGGACTGGAAACTTCCAGTTAACTGGTCTGCTTCCAGTGTGACCTTGACTTATGGGACAGAACGAAGTGTCTGAAGCTTTTCGGGCAGCTGCTGCTGCGCTTCTGAGCGCGCTCAGTTCAGCTGTTGGTTTTAGTCTTCAGCTGGGTCAGGCCAAACGCTGAAACGTTGCAGATGTTTTCGTTTTGATCCCGGGAAAATTAGAGCAAATCCTCGATCATGTTTAGACATTTTTTTCACTAAGTTAACGTTATTTTTTCTCAATTCCTATTAAAATAAACAAAATTAAAAAATAGCTAAAAATTTTAACGCAAATAGATGCACACATTTTTTCTAAATTAAATTTATTCAGTCAGAAAACTGAGCTCAGTTTTAGTCTTTCTGCATTTCTGTCACATTGTACATTTTAGATTTTCACGAAAGTTTCCAGTGATATTTGTACAAAATACGATATTTTTCCCTCAGCTTCTTTAAATATATGTATATCCAATAAAACTTTTGCATTTTGCTTTATACAAGAGTTTAAATATATTAATGTGTAAAACATAGCAATAGTAAAAAAAATAATTTTATTTTCTTACATGGACGACATTGTTTTTGCCACACTTTGAAACATTATATAAAAAATCTCAACTATAATACAAATAAACAAAAATATATACATATGTAAAACAAACAATCAAAATGTGTTCGAATAGCTGCATCGTTTAAATGGTCGGAAAACATCATTTTGCTTCGTAAAATAAGTTTTAAGATGAAATAATAAAATAAGTCAAATCACAATGAAGAACAATCAGATATTTATGGATTGTTTGTGATATTTTCTCAACAGACAAAACATTTTTATGAGTCTTTCTTGGCTGATTTAATTCGACGTTGGTGTCAGTTTCTCAAGCGTTTCTTAGAGTTCCAGCCGCACTTTTTATTGATCTGGTTTTAATAAACCAATAAAGTGACGTGAAATTGACTGGAGCAGCTGAAATCCGAGCGAAGCTCTTCGAGGATATTCATGAACAAATAAACATCACATTTTGTCAGATTACTGCCGTTATTCCCGTGGAGGAGTGTGAAGTCTCCTCTGTGTGATGCAGGGGGGGGCGGCGGTAAAGGTCGGAGGTCAGGCTGCGTTTGATTTGCTGCACTCTGGAGCGTGAAACCCGAAGCCTCGCCGCTCTGCAGAGACCCACTGAGCGTGTGCAGAGTGACGCCTTATTTTTGGAAAATCCGATCAGCCTCTGCAGCAGACTGTGCTTCCTCTGTTCGCACTTTTTACGCTTTTCACGATTGACCTGGATCAACTGTTCAAACGTAAACACAAAGACGCCGCCGCCGCCGCCAGCGCCGTTCTGGTTCCACAGGAAGTGAGCTTTACACTCGAATGGATCTGAAGTTATTAATCATGTCTCAAATCAATAAGAAGTTTAATAAAAAGCTTTATTTAAAAAGATTAAATCAATCAGGAGGCGTAAAATATGTTAGCTTTGTCTTTTAATGAAACTTATTGATATAATTTATTATGCAATTAAATCAAATAACTGCATAAGTTAAAACAGAAACAATAATTTCCACATACATGATTTATTATTTTTCTTTTTGCTCTTTTTTTTGCCAAAAACTGGATGATAAAAGTTTTCAGTATGGCATTTTGGTCTCAACTAAACCTTTACTTAAAGAGACTTTCATAATTGATTTTATTTTATTTACTTTGACTATGTAAAATGTGTTCTTGCATTATTACACCATTATTACAATTATATTTCTTAACAATGGACTCAAAACAACAATTTTATTGTTTGTCGCAATAACACCGGGGACAATTTATTCTAGATCTCTCTTGAAAATGAAACCTAGATCTCAATGGAGTTTAATTGGTTAAATAAAGGAAATAATTGTCCAAGAAAGTGTCATTGTGAGATTCCAAATAAAAGCTAAAATATAAACCTTGTACACAATCACTAGAGAAGTTTAGTTCTTTAAAAATGTAATGAATACGGCCTTTTACGTTTTGCCATTTTATTGGAGTAATAGTTCAAATTTAAAGTTCCTTCAAATTCAACACAAGTTCAATTCAGTTTGGTTTCCTGGTAAATATTCATATTTCATATTCATAAATTTATTTACACTCAGATGTTTCTTGAAACTCAAAACTGCAAAACCACAACATTTCGTCTAGTTTCTAGTGCAAATATTAGAGAAATTAGAGAAATTAAAGAAAATCAACTTACAAATTACATTTCAACAAGAATATTAGAAGTGAAATAATCTGCTGAAGGAACCAGTACGTCTTGAAATCAATGTTAAAGAATAACTGATGTAAAACAAACTCCTATTTCTTGCTGAAAATTTACTTGCAAATCATATTTGTCTTTATTAAAAGTGTAGTAAGAAATCAGAAGTAGAAACTAACCAGAAATATTTGGGAAGATTTTTGCAGTGAAGGAAAAATGTTCTTGTTTTTGAGCTGATTTTTTTTTTTAGTCAGTTAACTGTAACATTATCCTTGAAAAATCCTAAGTCAAGTATTCTTTTTTAAAAAAAAAAGAAAAATTACACTTGCAGAGATTAAGACTAAGAATTTCAGTTTTTGTACCGATTTTCTGAGACATTTAAATAAAAAGTGGAAAAGTGTCTGAAATGTTAAACTGTGTTGATTAACGAAGATTTGATGTTTTTCTGACTATTTACTGGGAATTTATGAGTTTGAATTGGGTTGTAAATGACTTGAATTTGAGGGAACTTTAATTTTGATCCATTACTCAAATTAAAACTCTAATTAACAGAACCCATATTTATTACGATAATTTTAGTTTCCTTAAAAAATGTGATCTGCTGATGCGATCTCACAAATTCTCATTATCTGAATGTATTTTACAATTTTATTTTTTTACCCTTTACTGAATACAAAAACACAAGAAATTCAAATATTTTCTACATTCTCAGTTGGAAAAATAATCACAACACCTTTTGTTCATAGTATTTTTTTATTCAGGTTTATATTCAATGAGTCGGCAGCTAATCACTGCCATGTTTTTCCAGATCGCTGTAAAACAAAGAAATAAAACATTAAAAATAGAATTACACGACAAAACAAAGTTACTTGATAGATGAACATTATATGAACTCAATAATAAAGTTTTACTTCTTTAGATTACATTACGTACAGTGTGTGGTCAGTCTAAAAGCTGCTTTAATATTTTACTTTAAATTTTTTATTTTACCGACCTCCAATCCAAAGTTAAATACAAATGTTTATATTTATATTTAAGACTAAGAATTTCAGTTTTCATACCAATTTTCTGAGATGTTTCTGAGACATTTACATCTCAGAATAAAATGCAAAGTATAAAATGCAAGAAAAACATATTAGCTCAAATATTTTACTGTTTCTGTCTTTAACTTTTCCATTACATGTAAACAGTTTAACTTTTTTCCATTTTATAAATGTTATATATAAAATGTAATTTAAAAGAAAAATCAAAAATATTAAAAAATGTAAATGCAGAATCAAGTGTTTAGCAGCTCCAGAGAGTAAAAATCTATTTTCTGAAGCAACTTTTCAGGTTTTCCTGTGGAATCTGGTTCAGGTCTCGTTTGTGACCCCACCGCCCCGCTAAGCCCGACCGGGCAGGGTCCGGCGGGTTTATGGGGACCGCTGAGTCCGGGGTGAGGAAGGGGGTGGATTAGTTCCACTTGGTCGGCCATGACCCCCCCGCGGCACCCCGGCCTTTGTCCCGGCTGTCAGCGGCGGCCATGCTCCACCAATCACACGCCGCCGTCAACAATAGCTGCCATCATTCCCAGAATTCCCTGAGTGGATGCAGAGTTTTCCTGCAAAAGCAGGAATCGCTCCGTTTACCCATTTCATTTACTTCAGTAAAGGGTTTTACACTAAAGTATATATATTTTAAAAAAAACAATAAAAAAAGGAATTTATCAGAAATATGTTGATTCAAGGTGAGACGTTTTGAAACAAATTCTGCAAATAAATTATTTTTTTTGTTAAATTATTTGGTTTTGCCTGAAATTTTGTGGTACCAACTTCAAACATTTAAAAGGAATGACTAAATAATATGTGTGTGTTTATGTACGTTTCTATATTATACGTAAATATGTAAAACCCAGAAAAATCATTGGCAAGTAGTTTGACTGATAGTTTCACAATCTTTATTATCATAGTAAAAATATTTTTATTTTATACGTTTTTAACATGACTTGTCCAGCAGTGTTGAAGCCCAACATTTATTTTAGAAAATTATTAATCAAATAATAAGCAACATTTCAGAATTTATCCATAAAGTAGGCTTACTATGTTTTTTTTATGAAAGAGACCATCATTTAAAGAAAAATAATAACATTTTGAGAGATTAAAAGTAAGCTCTTTAAGTTCATGCAATTTAAGACAGATAAAAAAACAGATTTATTTGGTTTTACTCTGCATGAATTTCTTAATCAGAGATATTTTGGTTTATCTTGCAAGAAAAAAATTAAAATAATTTTTTTACTCTGGTGACTCCATGTTTGTTTTTTCTTAAAATCCTATTTTAATCCAAGAATTAGGTGAAAATTTGGTTTGGGTTTTTATTTTAGATGATGATGAAATGCTTTTGGCATCAGAAGGCAGAATCCAGGTAATCTGTGATTCATCCTGTTTTCTCTTTCCGCTGACGGGGATTAAAGCACCAAAACATCAAAGCTTCAGATTCTGGTCATTTTCTGCTTTTCTTCCTTGAAGATTTCTTCACCTGATGAAAGAAAACTCTTTATTTTTTTACATGTATTTGTTTGTTTTCTGGGCAACAGTGTGAGATAAATCAACTAATCTGCTTTTTGAGATCAGTGATATTCAGGCTTCACATTTCAAAACTAAACACCTGTGAACTGACTTCAGTCTCCGCCCACTCAGCAGGTGAAGCTTTATTTATTAACAGGGGCATAATTAACACTCAGGCTCCAGAAAGGGCAGCCTTGGCCTTTCAGGATCCCCTCCCACATTAATCACTGAACCCTGCTGCCAAGGTCAAAGGTCGCCACATTTTTCTTCTGACACTCACTGAAGTCTTTGTTTGTCCTGATCTGATC